AGGAAATTGTAGTTCTCCAGATTCCACTGGGCATCATAGAATCATAGAACTGGGTTGGAAGGGGCCAAGAAGGCCATCAAGTCCAACCCCTTGCTGGTGCATCCTGCTCAGATAACTGTCTTTTTGCTTCTTGAATGTCTCTTCTTCTAACTCCATCAGATTGTGATCTTTTTCACACACAAAAATTGTGTGTTTGGGGGCATATTCTCCCAAATAAAATATACTTTGCATGTCTTTGAAATGTACATCACTGATTAAATACATTTTGGATAAGCAAGGTCAGAAACATACAGACTTCAGGCATTATGTGCAGTCCAGAAGGTGGGAACTGGGTGAATCTTGATCAAAATTGACCTGAAATAAATCAGTTCTGCATCCCTAGTTGGGTGCACACTTAACTTCTTTTTGCTTTGATACTTTGTCCCTGGAGTTCTCCTTGTGCTTGGATGGCAGGACTCCTTCACAAGTCTGTCCTACTTTTTCAGTTCTGCTAGCTTCCCCCAATTACTGCAGAATCCAATTACAGCAGAGGACCTCATTTAAAAACAAAGCCAGGTGTTGCTAAACCAGCAACTCCAGTGAGTTTTTAGTGAATTCCTGACTCATGGGAATTTCTACTGACAAAAGACCAGTGAGTGTAAATCTACATCAATTGAGTCCCCCAGAGATGCAGTTTTGCCTCAATGTTGTTTTAATCAGGGGAGTAATCCATGGCTACTGCAGAGAGGATTAAAGAAAAGGTTTATTATGAGCTTTCTAAGGATGCCAGGAAATGAACTGATATGAATATGAGGCACTTTCTAGTGTTTCAGTACTGTTTTTTTTACGTAAATTAAAAGTCTGAATTCTCAGATTGGACTAATTTTAATCTAACCTCATTTTAAGGTATGTACTATGTTTAAAAACCCCACAGTGAGCCTATGCTGTGCTTGAAAGAATCCTACACGTTGTGATTATAAGCAGATTTTTTGCTACCTAGGATTGCACTGCACTGTTAGACCTGTATCTTATTTCTGTTCTCACCATTCAAACTTGCATTTTTAAAAAGTCCAGGTTCTGGAACATAATGGACCAAGTGGAATACAACGTGTAATATTTCATATGTCACCCCGGCAGCTTAAAATGTTATCTCCAGCTGTTCTTTCTTGCCATTCCCTGACACTTTCAAATTGAAAGACCTATTTTCTAACACATTATTTGTTTTTCTTCCTGAAGGATTTTTTCTTTCTTTTTAAACTCTCGAGCAAAGCCTTCCGTTGTTCCCTTAAGGCTGAAAGAGATTTGGGGAATCAAGAGCTAGGTTTTGAACATCTTATTTGTAATGTTCTGTTCTGTTGCTTTTTTACTTGGAAGTCCTAAAGCATTTATCTCTGCATTTCAATTTATCTGCGATTCTTATGAGAGTATACCTTAAGGTGTCTCTTTGTATAACTAATGACATTACATTGTTTTCTATTCCACATAGTGACAAACTCTTCTTCAAAAGTTGCAATTCAACTATCTGGGATTCCTTTTCTCCAATCTGTCAGATATATCTATCTATATCTATATTTAATTTCTAATAGAAATTGTGACATATCTGTATCGGTAACCTGTGCTAGGAATGCCTACACTACTTTTCGTCGTCTCATCTTGTAAAATTATTGATTATACTCTAGATTTTCAATTTTTAAAATAAAGTTCATGATTAACTCATGCCACCTCATTGCATTGCATTTAAAAAATCAGGACAGAGTGAAACAAAAAACAAGTCTCCTCCAATTCTGCAGCAATCTGTGATTTTAAAAAAATGCCTAAAATTTGGTTTTGAGCATTTCACACTAAAGATGCATATGCACTCCTTTTTAGGTTGCACGACCTTAACATACAGTACACAAATCAGTTGCGTTGCCCCATTCTGAAGCAGTCATTCTGGGAACACAGGGAGATACACACTGGTGCCAGCAGCAGCCATTCAGACCACTTTGGCAGTACCTTCTGCACCATAAGATTCAAAGGCTCAGCCAGCACACCAGAAGCAGAAGGCCGGTACAGCTAGCGAGCTTTCTCTCTGTGGTCCTGACTGACCTACACTCCTGTCTGTAGCTGATGCCAAAATGGAGGGAGTGCTCTAGGCAGCTGCCTGGACTACTGCAACCATGTCACCATCCTGAAGTAGCAGAACTCCCTCCCTGTCTGACATAACAAACTCTGATCCTCAGGGCTGTAAAATTCAGGCTACAAAATTCCACCAACCATTGACTCTCAAGCAATCCCCACACCTGGTGCTGAAATGCTGCATCCAGTTACACCACAATACATCAGTGATGTACTCCCGTCCTGTCCTCTGGACAAACAGAAAGCAAGTTTGCTCTGTGCTCCGCATGGTGTCCCTTCTCCTCCATGTTCAGCATCCCCAGTTAATTTAACCAGTCCTAATAGCACTTGGCTCCCAAACCCATCACCCTTTTCTGAGCATGTTCCACTTTGGTTGTGTCCTTTTAAATAGTGGCACCCAGAACCAGGCCCAGAACCCCTAGGCAGATCTATCACCACTGGTGATCTAGTTGCTACATTTCTGCTTGCGTGGCCTAAGATTACATTAGCATTGCTAGCTGCTGCGTTGTGATATCGTGTCATGCCGAGCTGGTGGCAAACTCAGATGCCTAGAGCCATTTTGCACCTTCTGCTGCCAGTCCAGGCCTCCCATATGTGCCTTTGGTTATTAGTGCCTTCATCTCTGAATTACATCTAGTTGCTTTCAGCACAGTGTTCAAACCTGTTAGGATCATTTTAGATGTTGACTGGGTACCACTTTTTTCTCCTGTTTTAAAGTCTTGTCTCCTCAGTTCACTGTGTAACCACCACTGTCCACGAGCTAGCAAAGAATAAACTTAAAATGGCTAAACAGTTTCCTTCCTCTACACAGAAAAGGACAGAAGTGCCAGTAATGCAAAAAATATGTTTCATGGTGACCAGATAATTTAAATTCCAAGCTGGATGATGGCTTTGTCAGACAGGAAGGCAGCTTTAAAAAGAGATCACTGTGATCTGCACAATAATCCCATTCCATCTCTAGTAAACGGGTTGTTCAAATGTTTGTTTTGTTGCCCAGTATGCCAAACCTGTGTGACCCACTGCAACAAGGGGACAAGTGAAAAAGAGAGCATGAAACTTTATGCACAGGAAATGAAGCATCTATATCTCAAATATTTCCAACAGTCAAAACAAAAGGAAGGGAGGAAGGATTGTCTACATTCAGCCTGAAATTCTGCAAGAACGACCTATCTAAATTCATGTTTGCAATATGCAGTGCTGGAGTGCTTAGACTGTTGTCCCAGAACTGGAAAGGCTTGGATTTAAAGTATCACGACATGGTGTTTGTGAGGCTAAAACAGGAAGAGGTAGAACCAGGTATGCTGCGTTAAGCTCCTAAGAACAGTGGAAGCTGCCTTGCATGGAGTCAAAGCACTGGTCCCCTAGCCCAGGAACCTCAGTACTAATAGACAGCAGTTTTCCGGGCTTCCAAGCAGGATCCTTTCACTGTTCTTCCTGAGGACTAAAGTAGTGATCTTGTGCATGTAAATCATGTGCTCTGCCACTTTAGCATGACTTTTTGGAGGAAAAGCAGGATGTAAAATTCATATTATCTAAAGAAACCCACTGACGAAGCCAGCAAAATTATCTTTAATATCTTGAGCATCAAAAAAGCGTTTATCTAATATTTTAGCCAGACACAAAGGTCCGAAAGATTGGAATGCATTTTGCTTTTTAATAAATATTATGCAGATGTTCTCAGCTCAATTCTACCTTTAAAACAGACATAGCAAAGCTTCTCAGTTCTCAATACAGAACTGAAAAGTTTTCCTTTTTCAGTCTACTTACAGACAGATTTTTAAGGACATATCAATAACCTCATACTGTTTGCAGGATAAACATTGAGGTCCTGCTTCCCTTGCTAGTTTTGATTCACATCAGGACTGGGTGAGGGTTGTTGCAGCTTAACTCCAGTTCTTCCCTCAGCTCTGTATCTCCACTGACATCTGAGTTCTACTCGTAAAGACCTTGTTAGCTCCAGCAAAATTGCCAATGCTAACATCCACGATAAAGCTGAAAGCCACAGTCACATGCCATGGCTGGACAGTTTCTGACATGCTGAAAAGTGCTTATTTGTGTGGCACCCTATTTCTGATACAATGAATTTCTACCTCCACACATGCTGGAAATATTAGAAATGTGTCTGCATAGATCTGTACTAGAGTCCAATCTATAGCTGTTTTTTGCTGTATAGTAAAGTTTCAGTAAGGCCCTTAGGAAACCTCATATTCTCTCTCTCTCTCTCTCTCTCTCTCTCTCTCTCTCTCTCTCTCTCTCTGTGTGTGTGTGTGTGTGTGTGTGTGAGAGAGAGAGAGAGAGAGAGAGAGAGAGAGAGAGAGAGAGAGAGAGGGAGAGAGTTTCCAGCAGGAGAAAATGGAAGAATTCGCTTTAGCATAACTTTGGATTTAACACTCATCCTGCATTCCCTCCTCCTTCCAACTCTCAGCCTGTTAACAAGGATGCACATTTTGTAGGGAGCATTACATGAAAGATCCCAGATTCAAAGCTCCATTCCTCCCACTTTTTCTCACTAAACCTTTACCTTTTGCTCAGCAAATGTTTCTGCCAGGAAAGCTGAAGCAAGTGGCTCTGTGACTTATTATTTGATTCATGCAGCTAACCAATGAGGATCTGTGGAAGGAGGAGCTTATCATTAAAGATGCTCTTCTCAACAGAGCAGTTAGAATAGCAAAGGTGCATGCACACACATGCATTCTCACACACCCATGCACACACACACTTATTTCTCTCGGTGCCTTTTTTGCTTCCGAGTCTGAAAAGCCCTTCTCCGTGTGTGCCTCTTCTCAAGAACCCATCTCTTTCTCTCCTTTCTACTTGGAAAAGTGAGTCATTGGAACAAGGAAATCTTGAACAATCTAAGCAAAACAGAAACTTAGAAAAAGATCCTTCCTCCACAACTTATAATGGATCAGAGCATTAACATCTCTCAGTGCGTCCACAGAATGGAAGAACTCGATCCACTTTGTAACTACATAAATAGCACGGAGGACTACCTTGCCTTTTTATATGGACCAAAGAGGAGCCACCTGTTCTTGCCCATGACTTGGATCTATGCTTTGATTTTCATAGTTGGAGTATCTGGCAACATTTTAGTGTGCTTGGTGATTCTTAAGCACAGGAATATGAAAACCCCCACAAACTACTATCTCTTCAGCCTGGCTATTTCAGACCTGCTGGTATTGCTCTTTGGGATGCCCTTGGAAATCTATGAAATGTGGAGCAACTACCCCTTCTTGTTTGGACTGGTTGGCTGCTATTTTAAGACTGGACTCTTTGAGACCGTGTGCTTCGCGTCCATCCTGAATGTCACCATCCTGAGCATAGAGAGATACGTGGCCATCCTCCATCCCTTCCGAGCCAAGCTGAAAAGCACCCGGCGGCGTGCGCTGCGGATCATTGTTGCCCTGTGGGTCCTGTCTGTTCTCTTCGCTCTTCCCAACACCAGCATCCATGGCATCGTGCTGCAGTATTTTCCAAATCACACCGAAGTCCCTGGCTCTGCTACATGTGCTGTGGTCAAGCCCATGTGGATCTACAACTGCATCATCCAGTTGACTTCTTTGCTCTTCTATATACTTCCCATGAGTGTCATCAGTGTGCTGTACTGCCTGATGGGGCTGAAAGTGAGTCCTGACTAAACCCTGCCTTCTTTCTGCATAACTTCCTTCATGCCATACCACTTCATTGCATTCCAAGTTAGCCACTTTCCACACTCTTACAGCACTTTTCCTTTTTTAGCAGTGTCCAGCTGGACTAAGTTCAGATTCTACCATGGGGAAGTGATTCCTCCAATCCATTTCCCATAAAAATCCATTAGCAAAGTAACAGAGAATCAATCTGACCAATTTTTACGGTAAAACATCATTTCACTGTTCAGTTGCATCCTAATCTAGCATTTTTACAGACTCATGCTGTACAGCACTAAGCAGTAAGTCAGGTTTCTGATTTTGATTAACTTTTGACATAACAATATTTGCATTTATTCTTTTAAAATAATATTAAGTTTTTGAAAAAATTCAGCATGTCTCACCTCTTTCTTATCTAATCCTAAACAGTTTTATGCAGCAATGCCACTGAGCTCACTGCCTATGGATAAGAAATCCGTGCATATGCCTTGAATTTGAATTGGAGTAGAACCTGTTACTATAAGCACTCCAACTTTGCCCAGAAGTATGCAAAACAACTTTCCATTCACACTCTTTGAGCAGGTAGCCAAACAAAAAAACAGGCATCTAATGATGAATGGAATTAGTGACAGAGAGAGGACTATCTAAGCTTAGAAAACAGACAAAGATAGTTCCCGTAAATATACATAATCAAACCTTTGCTCCATCCAATTTTGGTGGTTTGATTATGACCACAGAATTACTTTTTCTTTCCTTGCACAAGCAGGAGGAGCTTTTAAAAGAAATCCTACAGAAATTGTTTAATTGACTTTCCCCATAAAATGGACAATTTTCTTCTTGAATTGGATGAAAAGTCATCCAACGATGATGATAATTTCAAAAGACTCACTTTTGTCTATGTTCTTTTCTCTGTGGCATGTGGCTTTCTATCCTAAAATCTTCATCTGAGGTAATCCACAGAAGACAATGGCTGTGGACTCATTGACATAAACATTGCCTTTCACCAAGACATTATCTTCGCTGCAATTCAGAATACTGCTGTCAAGCTGCTTCTGTAAAATGAAGGTATATGAGTAGGTAGCTATTGTTTATTTCATTAACAGAATTCTTCATTGTTTTTCTTGCATGACCACGTACCACCAAATTAACGACTTATGAGATATCATCCTGATCTGTTCTCTCTTTCATTATGTAGTGTGAAGAAGGAAAAAATGGCTACTGCAGTTCTGTAAGAGAATATATGATGCTTTGATGTTAGATAAAACTAATCATAATGAGCACTGAAGTCTATATGAAACCAACATATATCTCCAACATATACTAGCCAGAGTTTCTGGCCAGTTGTTCTTCTTTGCCATGAGTTTCAAAAAAAAGGAAAAGAAAAAAATGAAGTATGTGTATGAAGTACAGTATGTATGAAGTCTTAACTGCTGAGAGTTTGAGTATGAAGAAGTAATAACTTTAATAACCTTGAGTTAGCGAAGTTTTTGCAAAAATGACCACTTCCTCACTATTGTAGGTTTCTTTCTTTCATTCACAACATACTCTGGGAATGATTCAGAATGGTAGCTCTTCAGTGAAAAGATTTCTTCAGAGATCCCTGAGAGGTCTAAAGCCATGCTGAAAATAACTCCTGAAAGCTGGCAATTGCTCTTGCCTGTGAATGTTACAAGGTTCCCATGCTGGTTGTATCAGGCAGAGCCTGAAGTCTGCAGACTCTCAAGCATCTGTTGCACTCAGAGGGCATAAAGGTTCCTTCGGGCTTAAATGTATCTTCTGAATATTATTCAGGATACAAACTTCACGTTAGTTCACACATTCAGGGGATACGTGCATTTTTGAAGAAGATTGCCAAGGACATATTTCACATGTGGAATGAGAAGTTGTATGAAATGGACATGAGCCCTCCACATTCTTTATTTGCTGGTATTTGTTTACTGTGTTGATCTCCTGACTGTCCCTAATTACTGACTCGGGGTATAGCCTTTGCCAACACAGTAGCTGTGATGGTACCACAAGGTACCAAAGTATAGGTATCATTTTCTTCAGCCTTACAGTACAATTTTTGCTGCTGTGATGCCAAAGTCCAAACTGGTCCAGGAGCTCCCACGCCTTGCCAGTCATTCATTCATACATTCCATTTCCATCTGACCCAGTATTCAAAGCAGTCAAGCTGGTTCACCACAATTATAACCATAAAATACATTATAAACATTTAAAACTGCAGTAAAGCATAGACATACGAGCCAGAATAAAACCTAGCAGTAATGCAAAGATTTAAGATGCAGTAAATAACTGAAAACAAAGGCAAATGCAAGACTAAAGTACCCGAGGATATCAAAAGTCTTCACCTAATGTTGGAAAGATCACAATGAAGGTTCCAGGTGAGGTTGTCTTGGAAAGACTTATCTAGACGGTTGCCATTGGATTCCAGTAGAAATCAGCAGCATCAAAGAATAACACATGCTGAGCCTCCATGTTAAAATTCATTTCTATATTTTGTTTTTTCAAGCTGAGGTATTGGATGAATTAGTATAAGTATGTCTTTTCAAGGTGTTTGTAAGTGATACGAAGGCAAAGGTGAAAACAAGCTGCTACCCATTCCAGGAAGTCCCATTCTGGTCCATAGTGACTGCAATGCCATGCAGCTTCCCTAAACTTATTGTCCAGGAAAAGTGAAGAATATTTGGAGTAAAGGCAGCAATTCATTAGCCAGGATAATGCTGTGAAACAGCATCACACCCCTTTTCTATTCTATAGCCCGCTGAAAATGAAATTGGTACCCTCTTTGAGAGTCTCACTGTTTGTGTTTTCCCTTGACAGGTTGGAGAAGTTGTTCAGCCAGGAGAAACCCAAGCCGCAAGGGATCTTCAGCTGAGAAGGGCTGTTTGGAGGCATTTCTCCCACTTCTCAGTTAGATCCTCACCTTTTCAAGTTCCTGGTGGAATCTCAGGGCTTTCATCCCAGAATGAATCCACCCAATTTCCTACCAGACTCCCTATTTTAAATGACCTGGAGCTGACAACCACCTGTTCTCTGTCCACTCAGTGTCCCTTTAAAAAGAGAGGAGATGCATCTTTAGTCTTCTCCGGGCCCCTAAAGCTTTTGGAGAAAGCGCAAAAGTACCTCTCTTGGCTGCCAAAGGGTTAGAGCTATATAAATGTCATTGCTTCACAAATGATCACAGTGTTAGCAGGCAAAAAGGAAATGCTGTAAGATCTATTCTCGTAGCAGTTTTTTGTCTTAACTTTTTTCCCCTTTTACCAGCTGAGAGGAGACCGTTCCTTGGAAACAGATGAAATGGGGATTAATGTTAACAGATCGTCCAGAAAGTCCATTACTAAAATGCTATGTAAGTACTGAGAAAGGGTGTCATAAATATGGATTTTGTGAGAAAGCATAGTACAGAAGAATGTCTTTTAGAAGGCATTTGGACGTCATTCAGATATATCTGACTGTCCATGTTCTGAGTCCAGCTTTTCAGCCTGATCCAATTCTTTATCCATGTTTTGCCAACTAACAGGTGGGAAGGAAGGGTGGATAATGGATAATTCATTCTGGGCAGCCATTGCTACCCTAACTCCTGACACAAGAATGGATATTCTGGCGAAGTTGTTATATCAGTCATGCAGATGAAGGCATGGTGTGTGCTTCCATCTGCTGACCATCGCATCCTGAGGGTAGACAATGCTGGAATATGTTAGAATGCAATCCTCTGCACACTTACCAGGGAAGAAAACCCACTTGAAAACAATGATGTTTATCTCTGAATACAGTGCATAGAATTGCACTCTTGGGTTTCACTCTATTCTAAGCCATCTCATTCTATATTACCAGTACAGGGCAACTTATAAGGTTGTTCAAAATATTGTAACATAAGTTGAATCTCTTATTTGGATAAATCTACCCTCCTCTATTCATTCAAAAGTAATGAAATAATTATTCATCATTCTCAGATTTAAATCATGGTGAGCCACCAAGAGAAAAGACTTCAAGAAACAGAATGCCTCTCTATTGACCATTAATTGCACCCAAATTGAGAATGAGGAGGCAGCACACAAATCATGAGACTGAGCTAGGGCCACAGGTGTTAATAATCTTTGGTTCAGCTAAACCTGTAGCTGTTATTTAGCAATGTTGGAAATGATACAGGATACTCAGTAGAGCAGGAGCTGCAGTCTGTCTATACCTACTTATAATTTATACCTTTCCACCCACAGCCAACCTGGCCCTGCGCTGGCACGTGGGGTCCATTTGCCAGCACTGGAGTTACCATCACTGCTGGCTGGCTGGCTCGCTCGCTCACTCGCTCGCTCTCTCTCTCTCTCTCTCCACACACACACACAGACACACACACACACACACACTGGTAATTGTTGCTGCATTTCAGCACACCCAATTCTTCCTCTCTCTCATTCTCACCCTTCTTCCTTCAAATCTACAATATAAGGATTATGTCATTAAAACTGGCAAAGCTTTAAAAGTGAGAAGAAGGAGAAGGATGACAGCAATAATATATTTGTTTATAAACAATATATAAACACACATGGAAGTAAAATAGAAAGAATATGAAGCTGTTTCATAAATGTTTATAGTTCAGTTTGTCACCATTCTCAGCACTGAAAATGTATAGTTATTCACTTAAATACCTGAGTTTTGTTACATCTCCAGTGAAGCAAATGTTTGAGCAGTGGTATGTCCTTCATTAACAACAGAGAGGATGTGTAAACTCCCTCTTTTAATACATCCCTGCAGTGTGGCCAGCACTGCCATGGGATGTGATGCGTCCCCTGCCCCAAGCTGCCTGGGAAGCCCCTGTGGCTCTTCAGCAGAGCGCATGGCCAGTGCGGTCCCCTCAGCACTGGGAGCAGCCTTCCCGTAGAATGAGGCCTTAGTGAGGAAGGGCTCCTGGATGCAGGCAGCGTGCAGGGACGCCTCCCCACCAGCTCCCCACCTTTTGTAAAGAAGGGCCTCTCAAGCAAGGCAGTTAAGCTGGAGGGAGGACTGCCACTCCCAGGTGGCGGCAGTGAGGTGGAGGAGGAGGAGGAGGAGGAATGCGGTCCATCTTGGCCAGGAAGACAAGTAGAGGGGTGGTGCGCAAGCTGGCCTGGGCTGCCACCCCCAAAGCTGAGGGAAGAGAAGGGAGGAGAGCAGTGGGAAAGAGGGAGGCAGTGACAGCAGGAGGAGGAGGAGGATGACGAGGATGAGGAGGCAGTGGTAGGTGAACAGCTCCTGCCAGTGTCACCAGAGCTGAGGGAAGAGGCAAGAAGTTAGCACTGCAGTAGGGAAGGGGGGGACCAGCCCCCCTTATTCTCATTTTTGAGGGGGAAGAGAGTAATAGGGATGTATATGCAATTCATTTTTGTTTGCGGACCACCTCAGAAGGCTCCATTCAAAGCTCCAGATGTGACTGTGAGTGAGAGCACATATCAAACAAACATATCTGCAGATGTTTGAGAATGTGGTCCTGTTCATTTGGTTCCTGATCCCTGCTTGATTCCTGCAACTTTCCTCTAAGGTCAGACTCTGCCCCCAAGTTACTCTATGGAGGAAGTTGCATATATTAGTTTTAGGCACTTGCTCAGATCTCAGCTGCTGAGGGTGTGCAAGGTTGGTGTTAGCACAGAGCAAGCAGGGTTTGTAAAGGCAAACAGGGATCAGGCAGGAGATGGGTGGCAAGGTGATGTTCGGAGCATCCTGGCCTTCATGCGCATCACACATCCACCAGGCTGTGGGGGAGTCCAAGAGGACCCCTCGCCAGCCGTGGCTTTTCCCTTGCCTTTGGAAGGACGACAGTGGCAGCACTACCTTCAGTGTGGCAGGGAAGGGAGAGCAGCAGGTGGGGAGAGGAGCTGGGGAGAGTGGGCTGCTGCCGCTCCACCTTCATCATTGGGGGGGGGTACTGTACTTGCTGCAGGGGAGAGAGGCGGGCATGATCCCCCTCGCCCCTGAGGTGGGATTCTCTGAGTGCTCTCTGCCGCCTCTCTGCCCTTCTCTCAGGGTAGGGATAGGCTAATGGAGACATATAACCCACATGGCTCAATCATTCAGAGAAAGAGGATTAATCTTCCTCCTCCTAATCAGTCCAGCTGCAGACAGTGAATGTTCTACTATTTCAACGTCTTTAGATAACATTCTTCACCCAAGAACACGATATCAGCACAGGGTCCACTAGCAATACCACATGGATTTATTTTAGGGTGTGTCTCTAACCCAACCCTCACCCCCATATATGCTCCGAAAGATTGTATCTCCAACATTCCTTGCTAAAACATGTGCTTCTGTTTGTCTGTGTGTGTTCAGGATGCTTGGTATTAGATACCATTAAAATAATACTTTCCAAAAGCTTTCAGCAATACTTTATTAAAGCACGTATGTAGTAATTTCCTTAATCCTCACAAGCCCCACCCAAGTAGAATCTCTAGTGCTTATTTACATGTTTATGCCACATTCATTCCAATGCCATTCTGGCTTTAGCCAGCAACAGCTGATGTATTTCTTTTTCTGCACTTTAAAAAAATTAAAAAGAAAAGTAAGGAAAGGAAAGGAAAAATCAATCTGCCCAGGCAATATTCAGCAGAATCATTTCATAAACTTGAAGAGCACTAGCTGAGGACTACCAAATCTCTGGCATTGCACAAGTATTTGCCCAATAAACTGGCACAACTAGCTGGGCAACTGGTAGCTTAACCGAACATGTGAAAACATAATTTTGGTTGGTTTCTTATCACACATAATACGGCCCCTCGGCCCATTTGCACTAGCAGAAGGACACTGTTGGGTGCTGCCTCCCATTCTGACTAGCAGGATTAGATATCAGCATGCAATTACATTGTCTTTGGAAACAATTTTGAAGCATGTTAGAGGAACAGAACCAAGGAAAAGAAAAAGCATTCGAGGCAACAGCATGGCCTTTCCATTTGACAAGGTGGAAAACCCTATGGAGAATCCATTCACTTTATTGTATCAGCTGGTTCACAGAATAGCAGCTTATGTGTTTTTCTCTCGTCTCTCCTTCCCTCTATCCCTCCCCTCTGACAGTCATCCTAGTAATAATTTTTGGAATATGCTGGGCTCCATTCCACACAGACAGACTATTCTACAGCTTTGTCATCAACTGGACAGAATCCCTTGCCAATACGTTCAACTTAATCCATGTGGTGTCAGGTAATCTTTTCTGTATTAGAATTTGATTCTGAAACAACTGGCTGCCCTGAGGCCAAGCAGAAACTGGTGTTCCTGTCTTTTGCCTCAGATCATGCTTGCCACCCTGGGCAGAGATTTCCACAAGCGCCTTTCCTGGGAATAAAAGTGCAATGATAAATTGAGTACCAAACAAGTCACTGCCCTTTTGTGACACACCAGATCAGCTGCACAAGGTGGGCTGCCTCCCTCTGCCTAATTGTAGGGCTGGTCCTCACTAGGGGTGTGCCAAAACAGGGAAATCTGGCTTGTTTCAGCTTGACAGATTTCCCGTCTGCTCCTGATCTGATGATCAAAAGCCAGGCAGGTTCTCGGGGGAGGGGGGCTCTGGACTGCCACCCCTAAGTCCAATAGTGTTTTGCACACTTTTTAAAATAGCAAATGCATTTTGAGCACAGCAACACTTGAAACCCTGCATTGCTCTACCTTGATTTGTACAGAACCAGCCAATTTGCATGGGATTGTACTTGCACACATGATTTGCACAATTTGGCCAATTCTGCATGAATCACAATGAAGTTACTGAGTTTTAGGATGATTTTTTTTGCACAAATGTCATTTGCACTGAAGCAACAATGTGCACCACAGTGACTCTGTTAGCAACATGGCTAGAGTTTGCATTAAGCTCCAGATTATGTTTAGGATTAGGATCACCTGATTCAAGTGCAAAGTCTAAGGACCTAGAAACAGCTTGGATTTGGCAGAAAAAGTGACCAGGCAACAAGAACACCCTGAGTGCTGCCTTTGTGTGTGTTGTCTGAAGCTATAGGAGTTAAACCCAGGTGTTAGTCAGAAAGGCTGGATGTTCAACAGGTAGACCCTGACTTTTCTTTTTCTGTATTGTTTCTGAATTATAGGATTCTAACTGCATTTTAGGGCTGGAGTTAAACTTCAGGTTAGAGTTGGGAAAATGTAGATCTTAGCTTGGCTAGATAAAGCAACTTGCTGAACTTGTACCACAATGAATTAGCTTCACCACAGGGCTAACAAACTGAAATCTAGGGGGATGAATCATGGCAATCTGTTAGATTTTCTCCCACACACGTACTGGGTTTGTCAAACATCACTACCCTCACTAGAAGTAATTATTTTAGGAAGAAAAATATGGTTATTTATTTTAAGCATATGCCTCTTCCTCATTAGAATGTGATTATAGTATCCCTGAATAAATTGGATGCCAACCTTCAGGGCAAAAATAGCTCACCAGTTTTTCAAAATGTGTCACCAACTGTTTCTTTTCCCATTCAGTTTAAATAGCTTGTTTTCTATCCCCGAAGCACCAGTTCATATTCTTTTTTTCTCTTCCATCCTTTAGCATTCATGGAGCATTTGTGTTTTAATCATTCTAGCTCTATTAAGAGTCCATTACACTTTACACTAATTAGTACCCAATCTATTTATTAATAAGAAAGCCCCAGTTATTTACAAGATGACATGATTTACCAGTATTAGAAAGATATCACTGAGCTTAAAAGTGGAAACATGGGTGCGCATTAGCAGAGTAGCTGTGTCTTGTACGGATTGTCATGAGATATGCGATGCCCTCCGCAAACCATGCCCTCTACTACTAGTAGTACAGCCACCACCCACAGCATCCCTGCCACCTATGTCAGCCCGAACGATGGCCGCGTAGTCCCCCAGTGCCTTCCTGAGGAAGTGTGTTGATGAGACGCTGCTCCACAGTCCTAGGACAGCGGGGAAGCAGCCAATCGGTTGTCCTTTCCTTGTTTGGTCTGGCCACATGCTCTGTAATGCCTATATGGGCACATGGATAGACATTATAGTAAATAACAAAAGGAAGCATGGAGTCAGTCCACTGGACACAGTCATCTGCTTGTGTGAGAGGACTTCTCGGTTCCCCCAGTGACTTCCCACAGTGCCTCCCTTTAAAATCCCCCCTAAGATTTGGAGGCCATCTGAAGCAGTACCCCATAGGGCACCATGGTGTCTGAACCAATAGTTGCCACTTCTCCCGTGCACACTGGAAACACTTCCCATTCACACGTGCTGACATTTGCAGTGAATCCCAGACACCTGTCTGCCTGCTGTTTCTCTCCCAGTGGATGTGACCAAGACCACAATTAGAGAAAGCAATTTTTCTAGAAAGTATTGCAAATATTCCTTCTCTTGAATGTGTGCACTGTCTCTCCTGAAAATCTTGGACAAAAATTAATCATGCATAATCTAAACTTGTGCTAAAGTCCGGAAAACTTTGAGAATTTTGCAAGGAATCATAAGAATTGCCCAGATCTGTAAAATTAAGGAAAACATACACTCTAAATGTCATTGTATACCAGTCAGCATTTTTTCTCATGAAACAATATGCAAAAGCCATTAGGGTTGCTACTAGACCATCTCTAATATAAAAAGGTAAAGGTTTCCCCATGACATTAAAGCCCAGTCATGCCTGACTCTAGGGGGCAGTGCTCATCTCCATTTCCTAGTTTGTCCACAGATGGTTTCCATGGTTATGTGGCCGGCATGACTAAACAGCAAAGTGCACGGAATGCTGTTACCTTCCCACCAAAGTGGTACCTTTTTATCTACTTGCATTTGTATGCTTTCGAACTGCAAGACTGGCAGGAGCTGGGACAGAGTACGGGAGCTCACCCCATCTGCGGATTCGAACTGTCGACCTTTCGATCAACCAGCCCAGTGGCTAAGCGGTTTAACCCACTGCGCCACCGCATCCCTTTATCTCTAATATAGATAGATGGTAATAAACAAAATGCTGTCCTTGAGGATTTCTCAGCCAAGCAGGGAATCTCATTAAAGAGTGCAAGGAAGTGGGGAAGAATTTTACTAGATATAAAATGCAAATGCCCCAGTTTCAATCCTTTATTGAAGTTTCACCAGCTGAAAGGTTATAGGATTTGGGGAAAGCACCCGCCCCCAGGGAAATGCCAGATAAGCTGCTGCTCTGACAGAAGTGCTGGCAGAAGCCCTCAAATAATCCAGTGGAGCAGTTGAAATGGGGTGAAGTTATAGGTAGGAGGCGGGTAGCTCAGAAAGCAGTGATTCCATACCCTACGCCATTCCAGGCCATTCCATAACTCCATCGATGTCCAAGCAAAGCCAGGAAAAAGGTCTCAGACCATCAAGCTCTTCTTCCCTTGGCTGGCTTCAAAAAAGTGCCACAATGAGGAGCTCTCTTGCCAAGAAAAGGCATTTTACCTGTCTCCTGGGATGCCTCTCCTGGCTTTTAGTGTGAGCAACACAGGAAGCTGGCACATTCCCAAGTCCAGTAATGAAGCCGTTTGCCCCAGCAGTGTCATCCCTGGCCAGCAGCAGCAGCCTTCTGGGATTCAGACAGGAACCTTTCCTGGAGAAGCTGGGTAGGGCCAGGAAGAAGCCTTTGAGATTCCCCTTCCGCCAGAACTCACAGGCTTCCTGCCATGCTTGGCCCCGTCCTGCAAAGCAAGTCAGGCCAAAAGGAGATCTGCGGCTACTTGCAGACTCCCAGCTGCACCACCAGCAACCTTCCCCATCAGGAGCAGCTGTGGGAGAACAGCGGAGCTGTGAGTGGGCACACCAGCCACTGCTCCCAGTGATCAAACCTTTCCTCCACCCACGGCATGCAGCAGAGCCAGCAGCTTGTGCGGGAAAGTGGCACGGCAAGCGGGTACACCAGTCGCTCTTCCAGCAATCGGCCTTCTTCCCTGCTTGCTTGCCGGTGGCAGTAGCAGGCGTGGATCAATGGCCGTTGTGCAGCACGAGGGCAGGCACCGTCTTGAGGGTGCTCACCAGGAACCCAGACTGCCAGGCAGGACGGAGTCGGGGAAGCAGAAGCAGCAGGACTAGGGATGGTCAAGCAGCGGCTCGGCACCTCCTCCCCAAGCGCCTACGCGATGGGGCGTTCCGCCAGACCTCCTTGCTTTGTTCACAGGTAGGCAGACCTGTGCAGAAAGACACAGGTGTGCTGCCAGTTGTTATTGGGAGTTTAACCCCGAGTTTCTGAAGATCATTTTCTCACCAGGTCCCCTCCCTTCCAACCATTCTTCATAAGAGTAGTATAGTGTGTCCTTTTCTCTAAAGTAATTTGCATGTGGATTGGAGCACTGTCATCGCTTTGATGGGGATGCTGTAATTTCCTTTCAGACTCAAGAGAGTGAGAGTAGATAATATATGCAAAGAAAGCCCTTTAATTAGGCATCAACTAGTCAAAGGCATCATTTTATATACACTTAACCTGGTTTCTGTCAGTTGGTTAAACAGGGATAAGTTTTCAGAGGATCTCTAGCTCACTAACTTCTTCTCCTCTCCCCTCCCCTCCCCTTGTTCCTTTCTGTTGTCATTGCTCTCGCCTCACAGGCGTCTTCTTCTATCTGAGCTCTGTGGTCAATCCCATCATCTACAACTTGCTGTCCAGGCGCTTCAGGATAGCCTTCCTGAGCGTCATCTTTCCCCAGTGCAAGTACTGGCACCCCCGGCACACCACCATCCACCCCCCATGCCAGCGCAGCATTTTCATCTTGGGGGAGCGCAACACGGAAGGCTTTGTGGAAGAGGGAACCCCCCCATGTGTGCATCAGTCATCCATCTGCAGTTCCCACCTGTCCAGCGGCTTGTGACCTTGCTGCCCCTCCAGAGTCCCCTGTCAGTGGTGCTGGGAGAGCATGAAAATGACCCGGCTGATTGTTAGGATCTTCCCTATGGAACCTAACAAGGAGAGGCAGTGCCCATGCCACAGGCAAGGACCCTGGATCAGGCCCTCTGCTCATGCAACTGCATCATTTAGAGAAGGGAGCCTGTCTCAAGAGCCCCTGTTTCTAATGCCTAAGGATGAGGCATTCCTGGGAGATGTGAAGCAAAGCCACAGCCAGGATCTGAAGAGGTATGATAAAAAGGGGGGGGGGGCTTTGAAAAGTGCTTGAATTCAGATGCTGAAGGTCACACCTTGCTGCTCCTGTCTCATCTAGTCTGGATCTCTTAAATACCCCTAATCTCCAGAAGTTTCTGATATGATGAACCAGGGCAGACTGACTGTGTTGCCCACCCCCCGATTTTTATACCCCCCCCCATATCTAAGCCTGTTGCATCCAATTTCATGTGGATATTAACAGGAAAAGTGTGTGGCTTGGTGGACATTTAAGTTCTTTTAACTTCAAAGTTTAAATTTAAAGTTGTATATAATACTTTTCTATAAGTCACTACTGGTTAGGTGCTCTTCCCTCTCTCTCTCCATCCCTCCCTCCCTCCCTCCTTTTTTCATAATTTATAGCTGCAGCATGTCCCACACGTATCAGAGACGTGGTATGGAAGAAAGTAGCCATCTTTTTGTGACCTCGTGATCCAGCAATGGACAGCACATCGTCCTCTGTAGCCACTTCCAGATGCATTTATAAAAGCTTCCATAGGCCCATGCAGATGGCCTGTTCAGCACAGCAAACTAGTCGTGGTTAAAGAAGGAGAACGAACTCAGAAGGCAGCACCTCAGCAGTCCAGCTGGCATGCAGATTTCAGGATGTACCTCATCCAGATCTGCAAATTCATTTGGAGACCGTGGAAAGTTTGCTCAAAGCTGAAGCCCCTTCACTCATCCCTATGATGAATAAAAAATTAGGAAGGAATAACAGTCATAGCTATGTTTTAGAAAAATCTTGCACAGAGCTTATCCTAGAGAAGTTCAAACAACATCAAAAAGAAAATGCCATTGGAATAAAGTGAGAAATTCTTAATTTTCACTGTAAAACCAATACATATTTCTATTTGTTTATTTTCCATACTGCCCAACAGCCAAAATTCTCTTTGCCTTTCTAAGAACTCACTGTTTGAAATGGCTGCTCCCTGAAAATTGAATGTCCCCCTTCACAGAACTTTATGAATGACCCCGAACTAGCCAAAGGCATGTTCTGAGGAACGGGGCAAGACTGCTCTGCCCCATTCCAGTGATTTTCATGTTTCTTCAGGTTAATATTGGAAATGCTTCAGATTAAAAGCCAGGTTTTGGATTTCCAACATATGATGAACTGTTTTATAGACTGTCCTGGGATAGGATTAGAACTGCAGTACCTGTTTAGAGGTTATAAAAGACATTTTACAGTTATTATTCAATATTTTAAGATATTTGATGGGGTTCAAGAATCTAATCTAATCAAGAATTTATTAAATAGGCAAGATTTTATTAAACTTTATTGTTGCATACTTTATGCATGTGTTCCATAAGGTAAGATTGAAGAAAAGTTTATTGATACATACATCATTTTAATTATACATACATTACAGAGCTGTAGTGTTGAATTAGGACTCAGATGATCTGGGTTCTAGTCCCTTCTCAGCCATGAAACTCACTGACTGATTTTGGGGCAGTCACAGACTCTCAGCCTAACCTACCTTACAGGGTTGTTGTGAGGATAAAATGGGGAAGGGAGAACCATGTAAGCTGCCTTGGTTTCCTTGCAATAGAGAAAAGGTAGGGTGGCCATACATGTAATAAAATAAAATAATTAATAAAGTACACTGCAGTCACTGTCTTATTTCTCCTCTTCACATCCAGCCATTACTGTGGCACAAATCTAGGCCTTCATACTTAGGATTGGTTTAACCTTCATGTTTAATTTATCCATATGTATATCAGTAGTCTTCAACTCCCATGGCAAAGAGGGTTTAGTTGGACAGAAATAGTTCCTTTATTCTCATGTGTATAATCATGTTGTAGCTGAACACATTTTAGTTAATACTGATTTTCTAAGAATTACTTTCTGAGACTTGTGATACAGAACACTTACTGTTATATTGCCCTGTCATTCCTGAGACATTAAGACCCACTGCATTCCCAGTGTGACAGAACGCCCAGCATTTGAATCAATGGTACATAGGAATACTGGATCTAATGAGTCAAAGAGGGAAGGGTCCACCACTGCATCTCAGTCATTCTAGAAACAGTAATATCCTTTCTCTGCATATTATTCTTCTATTTCAACTTAATCAGGTTTAGACCCTCTTCCAACCAACCACTCATCAAGTTATTTGATAAAATTTAGACTAGCACAATTTTACATGTTACTAAAGTTTAGTAGCAAAATCTGATGATGAAGAAAGTCAAATTGGAATCAACAATCCTTGGCCTGTGAGTTGCACTTGTCTCCAACATGAGCTCGTCACTGGTTGACTGGCTATGAAAGAACTGAAGAACTAATTCTGCCGTATGAGATCATCTGTGTTTTGGTATTGTGCTTCAGTCAAGAGGACTTCCAAGGCCATGATGAAAGAACAGCAGTTGTCTGAGCTCCAGCTGATAATTGCTTGATGAAGCTCAAAATAAATACTGTCTAGCTGTGGGTGCATTTGTGGACACACTTGCACTATAAAGGTATATCAGTTTTGTACTGCTACTGGCAGCATGTAGCCTTCTGGACCAGAAGGCATGAATAGCCTGATCCTCCCCCTTAGAGCTAACTGCATGGGTGGCCCTCACTGTATCCAGCAGAAGTGAATTCTGCAGTGAAGATGTTTTGTTTTTCTTTTTGTTCTTTGTTTTTGTCCAGCCTCAAGGATATGTCTGTGAACCAAAGTTTCCACATATTGCTGCGAGGTCAAGCATCTGCCTAAGGGAAACTACTAACTACAGGTCTTCACAGCCACAGAGAATGAGAGACAGAGAGAAAGAGAGAGAGTTAATTAATAAAGTAATACATATAAATGAATAATATAGTTATTAATTAGATAATATATATAATTAAAAGGTGTGATCAGGATAATGATGATGATGATGATGATGATGATGATGATGACGACGACAACCTAGGAGCTCTTCAGATACAAGCATGGCATTTGTAAGTGTGATTTGACAGAGATCCACTGTTTTATGACACTTTGGGGTAAGGAGAGGCATCATCAGGTACATTGGCACATGAACAGAGGCCCTGGACCCCACTTTGCAATGTGCAGGAGGATCCACTGGGTCACAGAACACTCAGCTGAATTAAATGCCCTGGAAAGAGGCATCCGGTGTTCAGAGGCGGTGCTGCTTCGGTTCCTTCATCCCCTGCTCCAACACTCAGAGATAGTGGCTGATCATATTCTCCAACCTCACAATGATTCCTATGACATATAGATCCTGTTTTTTTCCAGGCTATTATAAATTTTATGAAAGAATGAAATGAAATTGAAGAACACCATTGAATTGAGGAAATTGCTACATATCATAAATCTCTGAACGTTGAGAGTTCCATGCATATTTAACTATCTTATTTATGCATAACTCCATATTTATCAGAGGTGATATAAAGCTTCTTTATCCAGAGATACAGGCCTCCAGGCCTCTCTTGCAGCTGAATGGCACAGAAGTTAAATCAATAGTGTTCTGATTCCAATTTATATTTAATAACAGTGCACTGTAACGCATCACTTTGGATAGAAAAGGGTCTGCTTTATTTTTGAAGATACTTTATTGCTCCCAGTAGGTATAGGCAAATCTTTTACTACCCCCAAGTGGACAAAGAAATGCATTTATTGTTATGTATTTATGTATCAATTTGAACAAATTCCTTCCAGGTGTCCTTACACTCCATACACAAACACACGCAGAGAGAAAGATACAGACTAATTCAATGTGTATAATTTTGTGATGTTTGTGAAGAATTATCGACCCATCACAATTTGTGTGACTCTGCTGTGCCTAAATAAACTGAACTTGCAGTCAAAAGTGTTCTTTAGATTAGGCATACTTTGTAACAGTGGAAGTGTTGACAACATTTCGAACCATGTCTCCTGAATGGATAACTCCATGCCAGGACAGCAACTGAACCCAGATAACCCAATGTACTACATTCTTGTACAGATGCAGAAAAAAATTGCATTCTAATGTAAACTGAGTCAGTTTTCCACTTTTTATCTAAAATGCGAACCAAAACACAGTTATCCTTTGATACACGTACTTCTCTGCAAGGTGCAATGGAGTTCCTTCAAAATTGTATACAAAATATGTATATTAGTTCAAATCATGAATGGAACCTAAAATTGGGAAAATTACTACAGTTTGTGATGAATTTAGTTTTAAATGAATGAATGAAAAATGAAACAATGAGAGAAACCAAAATGGAAAGTTCCATCCATCGCTACCCTTGGCTTAGCTGTGGTTCCACTGGAGGAAGTAGTGCCCTTACAACCTCAGCAACATATGAGGGGAAAGATTTCCCTCAGCACCAAAAACCTATACACCAAAATGTTTGTACAATGTTACATAGAAGACGGAAAAAGAAAAACAACACATCACGGATGGCTAGGGATGGGGCAAAGGAGGTCCCACTACCCTTCACAATTTGCGGAGCCACCAAAAGCCAGAGCCCCCAGCTGCTCCACGTTGAGCCCCACCGCAACCCTGGCTGCACCACCTCCTCCCAGCCACCTCTCACCTTCCTCTCTCATGACCCACTGAGCCTTGAGGAGCACAATCTGGCTCATCAGCTGCTTCCTGAATTGTCACCAGCATTGAAAGTAACCATGAGCCCAAGAGCACCAGATTCCTTCCAAAGCCTCAATTGCCAGAGTTGGCCAGTTGCCAGATTTCCATCAAACATTTGCTGTTTGGGTGGATTCTCAGTTTCACTGATGTAGAGTTATGAACAAA